TTCCATGTGATCATGTTCAAACAAAATTTAAAATATTCATTTATTTACTCTCAGTTCTATCACTTTGTGGCTTTTTGCTTACCGACATGTAGTCTTCCGCGTACGACTAGTGGTACGCGTGCCATAGTTTGAGAACCTCTGCTATAGAAGGTAGTTAATGCCGTCAATGTGTTAATTAATGAGGTTACAGTCTACAGTTTAGACTTTAGTATTTAGACATGGAGGTACACGATTTTAACTTAACGTGTTTTCTCAGATTAACTAGAAAAACTTAGTTTTTATAATGGACTCTTTAATTAGGGATATAAGTAAGTTAAATAGCTGAATACAAAAAGATGTTATGTTACCAGTTCTAATCTAATCGCTCTGCTTAGCCTATAGGTACATAATATAGTGATCCCAAAAATTTAAGAATGTAGGAATAAACGTATTACCAATATCGGCTATATCTGATATCATAATAAATTTAAAAGTGAAAAGTACTAAAAGTTAACAGTAACACGCATACAAAAAGTATTTTGTCAAACTAGACACTTTGTAATTGGGTAAGTTGGTAAGTTACTGTAAATTGTAGATACTTAATAGATACCTTAAATATGAATTCAATGATAAATTAATCATCGCATACGAAAAAATGATTCTGACTCTGACAGTCTATTATATTAATATGTTTATATTTTATGGTATATTTATAATTTATATGGCTATTATAAATTATAATACTTACTTATACTTTTTTATTTTTATTAACACGCGGTATTATTTAATAAATTATTTATGAAATTATAATTTATTAAAATAATTTATATTTAATATTTATTATATTAGTATATATTCAATATTTATTGTTGTTATTAACTTTTGAGTTACCAACTTACTACAGTATAGAATAGTGTGTAGTAGAAATAGGCAATAATAGCATAACATTAATGTAAATCTTTTGAAAATGTCATTGTATACCTGCATCAAATATAAATAATATAATACTAATAATAGGTATACGTAAATGATTCAAAACTTATGAAAAATATTTTTGAATTACAACAATGTAACTAAAATCATTTTTCTTTGTAGGTACCTATATATAATTTTGTCCTAATTTGAATTTAATATATGTCTTGAGGAATCTCTCATTAAATGTTTAAGCTTTTTGACTGATCGAATCATTTTTTATGTTACAGTAACAAAACAATTTAAAATGTCTATAAATAGCTCAAAATATTTAAAAAATTATACCATGTATAGAATCTGCTAATATAAACATTTGGTAAAATACATGTTTTTCCCTTTTTTAGATTCTGAAAAAAGCGATGGTGACTTATTGATGTTACGATAAATTATGTGTGTTTTGTTGTTGTGTCTATGTCCATTCTACACGATAAGTAATCGAAACTTTTCCCTAGATTTCCAACTTCAGCAGTTCAGCATATTGTCTAGTGAATTAAAATTTAAAATACCCTTAATTTTTAAAACCATCAATAAAAACAAAAACAAAAAAGTGGGCATTCTGCTGCACATTCGGTGTCTAAGTAGGTTGTGCTAGGTGGATGTGTTAAATTAGAATTCATCAGAATTATATAAGATCATTGTATACAAAAAACGATTCTGTGCGAAGATAATTTGCCAGCCTATGACATTACTATAAGTAGGTATATTTTATGATATTATTATGATTAAAGTAATTTATTTTATTTTATAATAGGCATAATAGTATACCTACTTATAAGTTATACTACTATAGTAGCCAGTAGGTTAAATTTATTTTTGTCAAAAAAATTGCATTTGAAAATGTCATTGTGTGTACAAAGTATAATAATAAATTACATATGTATTCTAAAAGTTTAAAGTACCCCTGAATAAAATTTTTAAATTATAATAAAATAACTGAAATCGTGGTTCTTTTCTTTGTTTTAATATTATGTTTAATTTCGTCCAAATTCGAACTTAAATTAACTATAAAAAAATTGTGTGGATGTGTTTTTTTAAATTTTTGGGTTGCAGAATTAACTACTTAAGTGCAATCTTGTTTTTAATTTTTAGCTATAAGAGTTGACCATTTTATACATAATACATACTAATTAACATTACTAACTACAAACTAATTTGTAATTTTTGAATTTCATAAATTTTGTTAAAGTTTGAACTTTAAATAAATGATTATAAAAAAAATCATGGCCATGTATTTTAAATATTTTTCAACTGCTATTGTGAAAATATATCAAAGACCTCGAATTTAATTTTTAAGCATTTCGACCCAACGGAAAAAATTTTACTGGCATTTATATAGAAAAAAAACTAAAAAAAATTAAAATAGAAAATGTCCGCTAACAGCTCAAAACGAGCAAAATATATTGAAACATTTATCAAGCATAGAAAATGATAATATAAATATATGATGAACATGTCAATTGTTTACGGTAATTCGTTTGGTAAGAACAAAATAAGAAAATCGTTCCATAAGAAATCAAGTGAATCCAATGTTGTAAACATTTGAACTTCTGAAGCTCATATAAATTGAATTTGACTTTCCAGTAAACTTTTTTTTAGAGTCATATCAAAAACCAAATCGATTTTGTCGAAAACTGATTTTACGGAAAAATTACCGTTTTTCCTTAACTTTTTTTTGTTTTTCAGGTGCGTTTGAAAATTACTAGGAATTTTAAATGTTGACCTCCCAAATGTATCAACTAAATTCCACCTGAAAAAATACTGAAGTTATAAATCGAAGCATTATTTTGACTACTTTATCGTGTACGAAGACACACAAAAAAAAAAAAGTACCACATATTATTGTAAAATGAATACATTCATCGTTTCGCTCAGAATCTAAAAATGAAGAAAAACACAAACATTCATGAATTTCAGTTTTTGACAAAATCGATTTTGTTTTTTAGTGTGGCTAGGTTAGGCTAGGTCAAATAAAATAAATAACTGTATGTACTTGAAATTTTCACAGAATGTTTATATTAACGTTTTCTATATACACCATACAATTTTCCATTTTGACTCTTTTTGAGCTATTTTTAAGAATTATAAAATGTCGATTGATATTGATGTTGAAAATCTTATTGATAAGCATTTTATCTACTTGAGAAGGGTCTTCAGACATAAAAGAATATACATCATTATTGTGAAATCAATGCATTTATCATTTCTCTCCGAATCTAAGACACACATCATTGTAAAGTCTGGTCCATTTATCGCTACGTCCAGAATATACATTTTATAAGGTCTTATATATAATTTAAATAGAATATCACACTACAACTCCACTTTATATTCAAAATATAGGCATATAAAATAACAATAGTATAAAACATATAATAAGGTATGGCAATCACAATTTCCACTCGTTTATGTATACCCATAAATATTAATTATTTTAACAACAAAATAAATACGATTATACACAATTCAAGGTATACCAATTTGGCAATTTGCAGACTTATATTACCCAATAGTGCATGATAATTATTACCCAATGAATACATAGTTTGCAATGTTTGCATAAAGATATGATCATTTTTTATTTTTCATCTTATTATCTTTGTATACATAGTTTTATACAAAATGAAATTATTTTTACCTTTATACAAAATAATTATTGAATTTAAGTTGATGTCTAGCTGTTATGCAAATATTAGGTATAAGATAAATTCCGATATGAGAATATACCTAATTAAAAATTATTATAAACAAAAGTGTGTAACAGAATGTCTTAATGTATACCTACTTTAAACTTGTTCATATTTATTCATTCAAATTATTCCACGGGTATTGCATAAGTATAGCACTATTGCCCTAAACAGAGTTTGATTTCAAGTGCAACATGCCAACATCAACATGAGATCGATCTGTGATCCATCCCATTTGGTAATTACTAATTAACTATGCACCTGTTTTAATAAATGATAGCCTTAAATCATGTAACCAAGTGAACTTCTAAATTCTAAATAAAATATCAATCACATAAAAAAATAATGTCCTTATAATATTATACTAGGTACTGATGTTTTAAGTAAAATAAAGTATCTATAAATATAAACAATTTAAAAAGTTTGTAATTAGTACAAATTTGCTGCTGTTAATGCTCACGAAGTTCGCGCCAATGATTTGAACTTTTACTCATTCAGTATCCATAAGAATTTACTCCAAGGTTTGCCAAAATATGAACATATTTGTAGTAGTATATGACTAATAAATTGTAATTTTTAATGTATCAGAAATTATTGTTTTCTGAATACTTGATAGGTACTTATATTCCTATAAAGTGCTTGGTAGCTTATTATTATTTTGTATACGAACAATCTATCATCAAGTAGGTAACATGATTAAAATTTAAAAGTAATGACTAATGAGTATAGAGAACTAGGAAGTTGGTATTCTCAGATACCCATGTATAGACCCCAGACGTATTATAGTATAAGGTTAGATAGACAGCCAACAGCTTATATATTATTAGTATATAATTATACCATTTATGATTATTATTTATTATTATTGTTGTTGTTATTGTTCCTCGTTCTAGTTGTCTAGGATAAGGCCATTGAGGTTATAAGGTTAAGGTCTAAACCATCTAAACTAGTACCTAAAATAGTAAAGTAAAAATCTTAAATCTTTATAGGTCTAGGTTTTCTTTCTTTTCTTATTATTTTATTTCCGTCATACTCGACAGACGACGGAAAAAACAGCTCGGGTATTACAAAAAAAAAAAAATGCTGACTACTTATAATATATACGAGACAAGACGTGAATATTTTAGATTATGTTATAGACTATAGTAATATTTTAATGTAGTATTATAATGTTATTTATATACAAAGACATTAGACAATTATACAGACTATGATGAGACTACGACTGTCAGGGAGAGGAGGCCGTGTCCGAGCTCGCTTGCAGCAGCTACTGACCTACATCGGTTGAGCGGACGTCGGTTTTCCGTCGCTGCACGTGGCATCACTGTGCAACTGTTGCTCCCGCTCAGCGGTCGTTTTATTTCGCGTGTTGGTAATCGCCTCGCACACACATGCGTTGCGTGTTAACTTCTCTCAGCTTTTCGTTCCCCGGTTACCGTGTGGCGTGTCCGGCGCTACGACAGTCGTCAGTCGTCACTCGTCGGTCTTCTGTGCTGTAAAGTCACTGCTTCCCTCGTCGTCCGCGAACAGTTTTTATTATTATTTTGACATTTTTCGTCGTATCAAATTCCGGCGTGTTATCAATTTTCCGCTCATTCTCTCGCCGTTGATACGCGACAATATTCTGAATCGGAGGTGCAGGTGCGACTGACAAGACAAGTACGGTCTACGACGATATCGGCAATATACTTCAGCTATACATTACGCATTTACGCCCAAATATTGATTTCCAGTTGGCTGGGAAACCGACATAAAATTTAAGCTACTTTTCTGAAACAGGTCAGTACTCAGTGCCCTTTGTCTTAATTCGTCATCATTAGATCAAACGATTATTATTATTACCTAGTACCTACATCCGAGATCATTTAGCCGTTTAGGGTGTATCTCTATCGATGAAATAAAAAGTAAATACGTTTAGGTAGTGGTGGGTGGGTTGGTTGGTTATGTGTTCACAATTTATTATTGTGTTAATATTCTGTAATTTGTGTAAATTTATTTGAACATTATCACAAAATTATATTATAAGTAGGTAGACTCGCCCACGTCACTACATATAGGTTACTACGTTAGAGGAAAGAATAAAGATGACCTTTTCTCTTACTCATAACAATGTTTGTCCAACGGATTGTTTTTTTTTAAATACTGTTATTTACTAAAAATCAATGAGTATTTTGTGTTTTCAAACATATCGCGTATTGTTCTATGTATACATGTAATTTGTGTATTTTAAGCAATGTATATAGGTACATAGGTACTTGAATATTGGTAAATATGACTAATATTTAAAAAAGTATAGAGATTATTGTTTCCGTTGAAGATACAATTGTTTGCACTTATAAAATAAAGTTACAATAATTTAAAGTTGTTTAGTTAATTGGTTTTTGTTATTAGTTTCTTATAGTTGTTACTTGTTAGTGTTGTTACTTAGTTTGAAATAAAAACGCCTCTTAATTGTCTTGCATTAGGTATTCTTAGTTAGTTTGAAACGAAAAATAGTTATACAACAATATTTTGACTTGACTAATTAATAAATTATTTGATTTCGTGTATTATAATGAAATACTCGAATCAAATCGTTAATCTCGAAAAAATATTTACTTATTAACTTATTGTTACCCTAGGAAAAATCAAATAGTTAACAAATTCTTCCCACAGGTAAACATAAATAATGTAGATAATAGATAAGTAGATAACCCGGTTAATGCATTGTACCCGCTGTAGAAATCGACCTATATTAAGTGTGTGTATTTACTATTTTCTAATAAAATGTATGCATCATAGTAATATGTAGGTAGGTATTAAAGTAAATATCATTTTTTTCCAAATTAGGTGTTATGCAATTTGACATTTGTCTTACAAAACAGAATTAATTTTTAACGTAGAACTTGTGTGGATGTTAAAGTAAGTTGATTACGTAATATTTTTGTTACTAGGTATCTTTGTATATTTCGTACACACTGAACTAAAACTGCCATCGCATTTTGTTATCTATGTATATTAGTTTTACAATAATGTGTTTTCACATTACTTTTTTTTCGGTGTTTTTGTGGCAATATTAGCAATATTTTTCGTGTAGCCCGATCAACATAAATTGTATTATAAATAGGTCAGTTTTTTTATTTTTCATGTACCTAAAAAAATAACATTATAGATATGCGTAGAGAATATGGAATGTGTTTCACATCTGCATTCAACAAAATCTTCACAATTTTTTGTTATATTGAATTCTGCACATAAAATAGTTTTACGAATGTCATGATTTACAGTGTACTTTATCTATGCGCTTTCAAAACATGTTAAATAATAAATAATTCATACGATCCTGGCTTGCGCTGACGTGAGTAAAATGAGACGATTTCCCAACACCAGAGTTCAAACTTAACAAAAATAGTTTGAATTAGGACTTAGGAGACACTATTATGGATTTTGGTGTTTACGGCTTCGGGGTCCCCCGGCATAATGCACGAGATCCTTATTGCACCTGCGGTTAAATAATTGCGACTGCAATATATACATGGTATCTAAATTATGTTTATATTGCATACATTATGCACATTACACATAGCCATATAAACAGTGCGTAAGTAATAAAAAAAAAATGTAATAAAAAGAGAAGTAAAGACGGACGTTCTTGGAGACTTAAGGAGTTTTATGCTGTTTGTAAAAAGGAAGATATACCTTCTCCTCACAGTCCCACCACAATTAAACATTATACACACAATTTTATGTCTGTTATACCTATTACCTATAGGTACCTATATAATAGTTACTGCAGTGGTCTGTGAGTATAATATACAATTTTTATATTCTTATTTTATGCGTTTGTCCCCGTACTTGTAATAGGTAGATATATAGCCGTATAGCCGTATAGGTTTGTATTTATTTATACTTGCGACACCGTCTAAAATTCACGACAGGTGCCTAATCATGTATTTAGGTACATTGATTTTATTGTATTGATTAATATATTAATAATGTGTTGTTTATTACAATTGTTTTAAAACATTTTGAAGTGTACCCGCGTCAAACAATTTTGAAGAATAAATATGTTGGTCTATTTTCTCTTTAGGTATAATAATTTTGTTTGGAATTTATCTGATATTATATTAAATTAAAATATAAGTTCTTTGAAGGGTTGCCATATAACTGATTTTACCACTTAATAATGGTGTATAGTTCGAGTCCCGTGTATTTTCAGATTAAAGAGGGTTAGAGTATAGACATCTGCAGGTATAGTTAAGGAATATCGCTTAAGGTTATTGTCAGATAAAAATCAAACCAAACGACTCCTGTGATGGTTCACCTTTTGAATACGTGTTTGTTAGGGCCTATGGTCTGTGAAACGTGAAAAAAATAAAAATAATGTTGGGTAGGTGGGTACGTCCTATACATGCATTATGACACATTGTATAATATATTATATATATTATATATATACAATCATCCATATATTATTTGACCAGATCTTATCCCTCTCAGTCTTGGTTTTCTTCCCCATTTTTCTCCCTCATAGAATTCCACTTGCGCCATAAATACTAAGAAACAATAGGTAATATTTTTAAACTTGTTTCGTGACGTTTATTGCCCTCTTTAAACGCTTACCTACACACCATTGTCTGATATTTTCTTAATTAGAGACCGCAGAGTGTCTGCGTTATTCTTAGAACAAGGGGAAGATATATGTAACGAGAGGGACGTTTCGGCACTCGATCATTAATGCATCCCTATAAGCTATAATATTATTATTTAAAAACAAAACTACCTTCCTTGTGTTGTGTTCAATTAACAAAACAATATAATACGTATTACCTAATTCTGTATGCAAAGTAAAGTTTTGTTACTCATTATGACCTGTTGAGTTTACCCGCCCATTTGTTTGAAATAACAATACACATATTTAATATATTTTTTCATATTATGATGTTATTTAATTATTTTACTATAATTTTTTGTTTTGAATTTTTACTATATCTATATGTAATACCTACCTAGTCTGGATTTTACTTGTAAAACATGTTTTGAAGCGACATCTGTTACAAATGTTCATGTTGTTGAATAGTCCCTACAGAAACTAGTCGCATAATATACATACTATGATAGGTCAGTTTTTATCTGAGTTTTTAAATTTCACTGCAATTTTTGAGAATATTACAAAAATGATGAAAAACCTTTAGGGAAAGAAGAAGTACCTACTTAATACTATTAAAGTGTATTGTTTTTATACGGTTTTATTCATTATCATCATTTTCATGTATAAGTTACGGTAATAAAAAAGTAACGCATGCATCTGTTTCTTTTCTTCAGTAGTGAATATTATACTGAATAGTTAGGTTTTGTTAAAATATGACAGAATCCCCGAGCTTATAAATAACATTGTTAAAGGTAAAAAACACTTTGTTGTGAGCTCAAATATTTAGGATTGTTGATTTAATATAAACAATTTTAAGTAAATATATTTTCTGTAAATTGAGTTTTATTGCTAAAAATCTTATTTAACTACATTAATTAAGTATAGTAGGTTTTTAGTTAGTTTTTAATATTGATGAGCAGGACCACAACTATGAAAAAAATATTATATTGAGTATTTTAATGTTAAGTATAGCTGATAAGAGGTTATGCAGTTGTTGTAATCTGTATTTCATCGTTTTTGTTAGTAAATTAAAATAGGATTATTAGGTCACGATTCTCACTTCTGAGTGGCGGCAACCAGTTCGTTTGATCAACAAAACAACATTAACGTTGAACTGGTAAATAACCACTAGGTACTAGCTCGAATAATAAAATAAAAGCCATTGTCCCCGGAGGCCAGATTAAATCATAACAGGTTTTTTTTGGTGCCTCGAGTTTAAAAGAAGTAAGCCTTTTAATTTGTATTGTACATTTGTGTAGCGGTGCCTGTTCTTAAAAATACCATTTTTTTTTGAATTTATTCTTCTTTTTCAAAGCCGACCGAATTAATAATAGGCGTCTACTGGAGACCCCTGTGGTTGCCAGATAAATCAAACACAGTTTGTAAACGACGAAAACACAAGAAATATTGTGAATAAGATACCGATTTTTGGTCCAATCACTCCTATCTTATAAATCATCTATTGAGTTGAAAGAAACATGTTTTTAAATCTCTTACTTGTATAACGTTATTAATTAATATTAGTTTGACTTTTTAGTTTTGTTTATAAAACCTAATAAATAAGTGTAAATTAATAATTTCCAATGATTTTAAGTTGATAACTTACTAGCCAATTTTAATCTAAATAGTAATTCCCAAATCAAACTCTAAATAAATTCTAATAAATTCTAATAAATAAATAAAACTCTAATAAATTAATATAAATATATACGTGGGAAAATGTATACTCTCTAGGACTTCCTCGGTAAAATTTACTTTTTATCAACAGTTGTTTTTATTGTTTATAGTTATTTATAGTATAATATCACAAAACAATAAAAAGGCATATATTGAAACCGACTGAAACTTACTAGATACAATTAAAAATTTGTTCACAAAGTTGTGTAATTTATATATCATAATTCAAATTTATTTTTAAGTTGAATTAAATTAAATGTTATGTACTTTTATGTATAGTTGTAGAATGTATAGTAGTCTCAAACATAAAAAAAATGTGATTATAGCGCTTTTCTAAGTGTAAGATACAAAAATATAATACTATTAAAAATTTGGAAACAATACCATTTTTAAGATAAAATTGTTTTTCGGATTTACATGTTTTAAATATTGACCAACTCTGATTATACTGAGTCCTGAAGTTTATTTTTAT